GAGCTCCGAGCGTTTTTGGCAGTCTTTGTAACAAAGCTTTCTATTGGTCGGTAAACTTTCTATCGCGCAACCACGTGACATACACGATTATGAATGGTATTACCGCACGGTGTTGTAGAGGGAGGAATGTCCGAACGGAACAACACCGTGCAGGCGGACGATGGGACAAAATGACTGCTTTAGTGTACAAAGTGGGTAAATTGATAGGGAAGTTTGGAAAGTAGTGTGCACAGTCAGTAAACTTACATAGAAAGTTTGTAACATTGGAAGTATGTAAACCTATGTGTGAAATGTTCATAAAGTTACTTCCATAATTGAACTGAAATATACTACATGTAATATATCTTTGAGAAAAAAACATAAATATAAACTTAGTACCTGTCACATTCCTCCCAAATATTCTATCAGACCAATGCACAGACAGTCAGTTGACATTACTAGTATCCTTGTGTGTAATAAGTAAATCTATAACAGTACTAAAGGGGGGGGGGTATAGTAGTATAAAAAAACTGATGCACATTATCAACAAAAAACAGCTAATTATACCTGTAGATACATGTGTGAATTAGGTAATTAGTCTTCATTGATTTGCATGAAAACTAATCACATTGGTGGATCGTCATAATATTCTATTGTAATCTGATTAGTGTTTCTTGAGATTATTTGTGAAACTAACCAAACGATATGCATTGTGTAAGTTATTTATAGTGAATATTATTCATGTGAATCGTTCTGGGTATTATCAGAGCTTGCTTTTATCATTCCTAACACGCAAACATAATTAATATAACGATTAATATAATCAATATTAAAAATGCATCTTGATCAACAAGACAAATAAAGTTGTTATTTTTCACAAAATAATAAACTACCGGTAATTTTGAATTAATTGTGTAAGTAATTCATAAACCAAGCATTTTTCAAATAACATGTAAAGCTTTCAGTCATCCAAATGCAGTGCTGGATATCAACATGCAATACTAGTATTATACAGAGATAACTACCCAGATACTATTAATAAAATGATACCCCCTGCCATAATCCCATTATTCAGCCATTAAATATAAATATAACAGCTGATATTGACCTGTGACCTCAAATATTGTTAACCAAATATATAGTATATACACATTCAGTTGAAGCACAAGACCACTCCAACATTATTTTAAAATTATCATGCATTCACACTAGTGTGACCTCATTTCAGTCCATGAACAATGTCATCTACATTTTAACTGAACCCCTCCCCTTTTCCGTTCATATAAATATAGGTACATTTTCTAGAAGCTAAATCAGCAATTTATTTACTACATAAATTCACAATCTTCTTTTTTCAATTTATATTTGGTTATATGATGCTGCTCTCTCTGTTTCCATGGTAGCAGTTAGTTTGAAAATGAGATGAGACACTACTGGCAATGATAAGATGCAGATCATGTATAGCCAATATGGTAAAGCAGGAGTACTCCCGATTGGCCAAAACCAAAGTCCACGACGAACAGCGTCTCTCAGATGATGTGACAACCATGCAGTTGTAAAAATAAGCCACACAGGTTTCAGTCTGTATTTCCCAGCACAGAAGTATTCAATTAGTGCTATAACACTAGCTATGACTGGAATCAGACTTGTGGCATGGAATAGTGGTCTAGATGGTAGAGACACAGCATCCTGAAAAAAATTAGTTTATATTTTTATCTGTTTTTTTGACCAGATTATTTAAAAACTGTTATTAGACATTCAACTATACACTTAAAATTGCATTCCCACTTTGTTTTATCTTCAGAACACTAATTATTGTAATCACCATGACAACAAATTAAAAACTCTAGTTTGGCAACAAATCCTGAAATATTGATCCACTGAAGCTTGCCTGTACTGTAGATGGTCACTAAAGCAACCACAATTTTCATTGTTTTAATCATTTTAACTTTATTTTAAGAATTTCTAAATTTGATTCTGTTGGATAAGATAAGACAAAATGTACAACTACAGATTATACAAGTATGAATGCAACATCAAGTGTTATTGATTCAATCTTAAATCAACCAATTTCAAAAAAATTTTATGACATAAAACACTTTTTCCTGATAAAGAATGAGAATTTTATACATATTTTTTCATTGGTACATTTATTACCAGCTACCAGTACTATTACCAAGTTAAACTTTCAGTTGTCATTATTATGATTTGTTTTCATTGCGCTATGTAATATGAGGTTATTACGAGGATACAACAAAGTATGCACGAAGACAGTACAGCGGGAGTATTGACCATCGTGCTACAGAGGTCGATGCGACGGCATACTGTCTGAGTGCATACTGAGTACATATACATCTTTTCCTTCCCAGGATACATCATGGGAATGCCGAAATTCAAAATGTTTAGAACAGAATCAGCGAACTTCTTTGTGTGAAGTCTGGTCAAACTCTGGCAGTAGCCATGTTTGTTTATATTATTAGAGGTCGCCATATTTGGAATTTGCATTTCCTTATATGGTAGGATGAAAATACCCCGTAAAATACCACAAAGTTACGGCACGCTGTAACTTATGGCCTTACAGTGACAGATGTATAATAATAACTGTTTTTGAGTCTGAAATTTTCTTTTTGCAAGGATAAAAACAGTACCGCTGCACAATTTAATTTTTCAGCAAACTATTTGAACATGTATGACTATAAATTATGTTTTTCATGCCTATTACCACATTTAATGTGAAATACCATGTTCACACTTAATACCACTACTGTAAATGATATACACCATAGTCCATTAATAATTCATAATATTACTTATACTAAGTTTCTTTTACTTTAATCAGATGATCAAAGGTGTACAATCTTAGTTACAAATTTCATGCCAGTTTATTTAATATCAGGACACAAAAGCTGGCTTTGCTTCAGCCAATCAGAAGGCAGGCTTTGCTTCAGCCAATCAGAAGGCTAGATTCAAACCAAACAGGTTATAATCACACTTATTGTAAAAATCATTGACATTATGAAACAAACAATTTCTCACCTTGAGTTTCAGTGATTTAGCAGAAATGAAGTGATCTATATCCAATATACTGGCAAAAACTCCACAGAGAATGGACTGCAAGACACTGTTGGTGGTATCGAGACCTGAGACAGCACTCCAAGTACAGAATCCAATTAATGCATGTCCTGCATTGTCTGTGATTGCACGTAAAGTTGCATTATTTGCCACAAAGGGCATTGTCATAACACTATCGGCTGTGATGCAAACACATCCTAGTACAGTACCGTAGATTACCTTTCGCCAAGATAACATATTGTACACAGTCAATGTGAAGTCCATCATGGTGCACAGCAGACACCTATTTAGTCAAATTACTTCTTTCATTCAGTTTCTAAAATAAAAAAAGGTTACAAAATTATAAAATCTACAAATCTACATTACATGCGGTCGCAAGACATCAATTAATCTAAAAACTGCTGTTTGTGATCTGTTGGGCCAGTGATTGCTAAAAACTTTTTTGTTTGTTTGTTTCCAACTACTGAAGTTGATTTATGTAAAAAAAACAAATTTGTTGAATGTCTCATGTATTAAATTGGTGATTCAAGAGAACTTTATATTTGATCAGTAATTAAAGTGATTATTGTTGTTAGACTGACTCTATAACTACTCTGTAAATAAACAAACTTGAGAATGCAAGAGGTGACGGATCTAAATTTTGGAAAATACTACATGAACTCAATGTTCGGAAATACAAATGAATCAATAACATTGGATGAATGGATGGTTTATTTTACAAAATTGCTGAATCCATTGTCAAAACAATGAAAACAATATGGCCACAAATCCAGATATCAATGGACAATTAATTAATCATAGAAAGTAAAATTAGGGATTTCAGGGGAAATTATACACATACCATAGTTTACATGGTGGCATTGGACAGATCTCTACTAGAGCAATACAATGCACCTTATTTGATGAAAATCAGGGTAACCGTTCTCGAGATATGGTACTTTGTAGCTTCAATTAGCATCTCTTAATTTTGGACAAAGGATGTCACAACAAAGCACTACTGAATAGTAAAGACAACGGCACCATTTTGGATGGATAAGCACTAATTATTTAATTGGAGCTAAACTTAAACTGCCATATCTTTCCCCCTTTTGTATAGAATTTTCACCAAATTTTCAACAAATGAACTTTATATCAATGTTTATCTAATGTCATGAGCGGGCAACATATAGACCATCTGTTACCATGGAAACAGGCCATATTCAAATTTCATTTTAAATCATCTGTCAGTGTCAATAAAGATGAACAAGTTTTACTTTCGTTTATGTTGCCTTCATTTTTATTCCTATACAAATGCATTGAAAACACCCTCATCGACCGGCTATGCGTTCTACCAAGCTTTGTTATTTTTACGCTATAATAATACTTATGAAACAAAAAGCATTGACACGAATAAACAAATCTAAGATATAACATTATAGCATAATATACAGCTCATTTTTTGGCAAAAGAAGTATGCATGGAAAACATAACTGGGAGCTGCCCAGAAAATTTGAAATCTATGTGCATGATAGATCCATTTTTATGCCAAAATAACCAATAAATCATCTCAATTCTACAGCTGTGAGTGCTCTGACATGTACAATTCGTTTTACTTTGCATTTATGCTGCATTTTAGACATGTTAAAAACCAAATAAACGTATCTTGCCGTATATAAAAGTGAAAGAGTGAAACATTCTCTTCGTACATGAAAATGGCGTCCATGTAAACAAAGTACCAGGATGGAGGTACCACTTTTAAAATGGGCTTGTCACACTCTCTAAATTGATGTCACACTCACAAAACCTAGATTTTTGACTATTAAAATATATATTTTTTCAAACTATGAGTGATAGATATGCCAGATATGAAAGTTGCCGATATGAAAATTGTCGTTAAACTTTTGTTTTTATTGCCGTTTCGTCAATTTTCGGCCGATTCTCGACTATCACCTCTCATTCTATAGCTGTCATCCCCTACTTGATTTCTGTGGCATTTTTAAAATCGTACGGTCCATTCCAACGCAGGAAAAACGCAGCTACCTTCTCTAGATTTACAGTAGAACACCGGGTCAAATATGAAGGTCACACTCGCGTTCACGGCGCTTGCCAGGATTTGCAAATGTTTCAATTTCTATTCTCCCGTATTGTCAAAACGGCTACTCGCAATGGGTTGCAATTTTTAGAAAATGGCCATAAGATATAGAGCTATAATTCCTGGTAATTTTTATTTTTTTTGCTTTTAGTTTTGCTCATGTATTTTTCAGTTTTTGAAAGGGTAGCTGCCCACACCCACTTCTTCCGATGTCATTAACCAAGTGACTGAAATCCCTAGTAAAATAAGAAAAATTATTAAACAATTAAAAAATAACAACGCAATGGCTGAAGACAAATATCAAATAAAATTATTA